CACAGTTGAATGCCTTTGCATAGTCAATAAAACACAGGTAAACATCTTTCTGGTATTCTCTGCTTTCAGCCAAGATCTATGTGACATCAGCAATGATATCCCTCTTTCCAAGTTCTGTTATGAATCCAGCTTGAATTTCTGGCAGTTCCCTGTCGATGTATTGCTGCAACTGCTTTTGAATGATCTTCAGCAAAATCTTACTTACATGTGATATTAATGATATTGTTCGATAATTTCCAAACAAATTCCCTGTAGTTCAAGTATCTCACATTCTAGTGTGGGGAGGCAGACAACAAGCATAGAAACAGTAACAAAGTGAGACTGCTGAAGAGTAATAACACTGTAAGAAAATAAATCAGACAATGTGATGGAGCATATCTGGCCAGCTGCACCCTGACCTCCCCTACAGCTGAGAACCACAGGGAAGGTGACAGCTCCTGCAGTTATTTAAGACTGTTGGGTTTATGTGGTTGCTGATATTGTCGTTACTGTTTGTTTGTTTAGGTTTTTAAAAATTCTCTATGGCTTCCTATGCTATACCATAGTTACAAGGGGAATAAAATCCTCCAACATTATGGAGAAATTAATGTTCAGAAATGCCTAAGTTACATATTTTAAGTTAAACAGCCAATTCAGAGAGCTGAACAGAAGGTTTCAAAGGGTGGTTCGAAAAGACAAAGTAAAGTATTATAATGAAACGTCCAAAGACCTGAAGTTAGAAAAGCAAAGGGGAAGAACATACTCAGCATTTCTCAAGCTGAAATAACTGAAGAAAAAATTCAAGCCTCGAGTTGCAATTGTGAAGGATTCTATGGGCAAAAAACTGAATGACGCAGGAAGCATCAAAAGAAGATGGAAGGACTATTCAGTCACTGCACCAAAAAGAAACTTACAACATTCAACCATTTCAGGGGAGCATATAATCAAGAACTGATGTTACTGAAGGAAGAAGTCCAAGCTGCACTGAAGGCATTGGTGAAAAACAAGCCTCCAGGAATTGACGGAATACCAATTGAAATGTTTCAACAAAGGGATGCAATGCAGGAAGCACTCACTCGTCTATGGTAGGAAATCTGGAAGACAGCTACTGCCCACCCGACTAGAAGAGATCCACAGTCGTGCCCATTCCAAAGAAAGGTGATCCAACAGAATGTGGAAATTATCAAACAATATCATTAATATCACATGCAAATAAAATTATGTTGAAGATAATTCAAAAATGGTTGTAGCAGTACATCGACAGGGAACTGCCAGAAATTCAAGCCAGATTCAGAAGAGGATGTGGAACAAAGAATATCATTGTTGATGTCAGATGGATCGTAACTGAAAGTGGAGAATACGGGAAAGAGGTATATCTGTGTTTTATTGACTATGCAAAGGCATTCAACTGTGTGGATCATAACAAATTATGGATAACATTGTGAAGAATGGGAATTCCAGAACACTTCATTGTGCTCATGAGGAACCTGTACATAGGTAAGAGGCAGTCGTTCGAACAGAACAAGGGGATATTGCGTGGTTTAAAATTAGAAAAGGTGTGCATTGGAGTTGTATCCATTCACCATACTTATTCAGTCTATATGCTGAGCAAATAATCTGAGAAGCTGGACTCTATGAAGAAGAAGGTGGCTTTGAATTATGGTGTTGGCAAAGAATATTGAATGTACCATGGGCTGCCAAATGAATGAATAAATCTGTCTTAGAAGAAGTACAGCCAGAATTCTCCTTAGAAACAAGGATGGTGAGACTTCTCACTTACTTTGGACATGTTATCAGGAGGGACTAATCCCAGGAGAAGGACATCATGCTTGGTAAAGCAGAGGGTCAGCAAAAAAGAGGAAGACCCTCAAAGAGATGGACGGACATAGTGGCTACAATAATGGGCTCAAGCATACCAACAACTTGAGGATGGTCCAGGACTGGATAGTGTTTCATTCTGTTGTACATGGGATCAGCTGTGAGTTGGAACCTACTTGACAGCACCTAACAACAACAGTGTCCTTAACTCTGCAGTGGCCTGAAATTGCTATAAATACTTTCCAATAAGCAAGAAAACCATTGCTGTTGAGTCAATTCCAACTTATAGTGACCCTATAGGACAGAGTGGAACTGCCCCACAGGATTTCCAAGGCTGCAAATCTTTCCGGAAGCAGACTGTCACATCTTTCTAGCGAGGAGTGCCTGGTGGGTTCAAACCACTGACCTTTCTGTTAGTAGCCAAGTGCTTAACCATGCCACCAGGCCTCCCAATACCGAATATGAAATAACTATGCATTTTCTTTTTTATTTGTTTTTAACTGAAAGTCTAACCATTGTTTCTGTACAGGTAGAGTTAAGTTTAAAGCTAATACTCACATGCACAGCCTTAAAGTGCATCTTGTCTTATCTGTTAATAAGACAACAGGGGTTAGGATTTGAATCAACTTTTAAAGCCACCAAAAAAAAAAAAAGTAGAATCACTATTTTATGTCAAATGTGTTACTGATGATATATGTATCTTTAGAGCAAATAATATGAGTGCTGGTCTTTAATAGTTGGATTTATATAATTAACACTAGGAAACTCCATTGGAAATTTCAGTTAAGCTTCCAAATATCTAAGCAGTAGTTCGCACATTTTTTAAATGTACACCACAGCATGCAGGAGGGACACTGCAATTCATGATATTTCCCCAGTTTGTTTGGAAAACAAGAACACATAAATTTGATGCTCAGCATAGTACTTGAAAGCCTATAAATATTTATAAACTTAACTATTAACCTTCTCAAGGGTCAATATTTTGATAATTCACCATGACTTTAATCAAAAAAGCTCCAGATTCTGAGATTATGTAAAAGGAATGTAAGAAATGATTAATTGAGGGACAAAAAACTGAAAAGGTCAAAAAATAAGTTTCCATTTACCATCTTGGACAAAATATTACACATTAGTGAATATCCAACTAACAATGAAAAACAGATTACAAGAAGCACACACCACCACCAGCACCACTACCAAATAATGTGAAATACCAACACTACTTACAATTTACTTGTAACCAACAAAGAAAGCCCCTTTAAAAATTCATCCCCCTTTCAATTTAGTTTTGGTGGGCAAGTGTTAAAAAAAAGAGAGAGAGAGAGAGAGGCACATGTATTTTGATGTTAAAATGCCAACAGTGTGTTTCTATTTCAGTGCTCTTATCAGAAATAATTGGCAGATATAAGTAAGAATTATAAGACATTTAGATTAGGTTTTAGCAATAGGAGCTGGCAAGTATAACATCTCAAGGCAAACAAGACCTGATCCACAACCTAACGCAAATTCCCCAGCTAGAAGAAAAGCAATTTTTTATCCTTCCTTTCTTTTAGACCTAATCCTAGTTTTATCATTACATGAAGGTTTCTATATTTGGCAACTAGTTAATGTGTAATTTGTGATTTCTACCTTTACAATTTGATATTTTGAAGTCTGAGAACAATATCGCGTTTCAATATCATATGCTGGATTGACTTAGATCCGAGACCAGAGTGATATTCCTCCCGTGGAGGAAACTTGTTCATCCCTCAGGAAGCATCTACCACGATGGCACATGCCTCTAAGAAAGTATGGTTTCTACCTTGATTATCACTCACTTCACAATTAAAATAAGGCAAGAAATTTCTTTTGGCACAATGAATGCTTTTTATGTTTGGAACATGACCCTCTGACTCACGTTAATGTTTCACCATTAGGGGAAAGTTTGTTTCTTCTGCTTACCTAAAATCCTGCCCAGTACGAGTGATTTGACTGCGCTGAATTCTGTACCTGACAACAGGTGGACTTGTCTCCTTGCATTCTCATCAATCTATAAAATTGTCACATGTGATACAAAGGTCCAGATGGATGCCAGTTGTGTTGCGAAATGGACAAGAAGTAAAGGAAGATAAGAGCAAATGAAAAAAAAAGCACGTTAGTATGGCCCTAAAGACTTAAAAAAAAAATTTAATAGCCATTTATAAAGGTAAATATTATTTTCTAAACTACTTCTATACGACCATCTTATACCACTGTACACCACCTCTATCTTTATTTTTGTTCACTGTATAAGGAATCCACAGTTAGTGTAATAGTTAAGATTATGTGTCAACTTGGCTAGGACATGGTTCTCAGTGGTATGGCAGATATTACATAATCATCCTCCACTTTGTGATCTGATGTGAGCAGCCAATCAGTTGAAAGGGGAGTTTCCTTGGGGGTGTGGTCTGCATCCAATATATACAGATGTTCTGACAAAGCGTACCCTCCCCATCCTGCATCCAACTCATCATCCTGTGACCTCTGGTTCTTGGGACGTGAGCCAGCAGCTTGCCATCTGACCTACAGATTTTAGGATTCACCAACTCCTACAGTCCCGTGAGTCAGCAACCTGCCATCTAACCTGCCAATTTTGGGTTTGTCAGCCCCTGCAACCACATGAGTCAGGAGAAGCCTCCAGTCTGATGCCTAAACCATGGATTTGGGACTTGCCAGCCTCCACAATTGCATGAGCCATTCCCTTGAAATATATCTTTCTCTATGTATATTTATACATAGAAAACTCAGCCTAAGATAGTAAAATCAACAAAAAGATACAATAAGTTATTCTTCACCTCAGTGCTTTTACTTAGCTTAGCGCTTGAATCATGCAGCTAAGAAATGTTCCTTTACGTAGAGGGCAGAAACACATTAATGCTTTTTTCAAAAGCTAGTACACTGAATAATTCCAATTTCTCTGCTGTGACTCAAATCATTTTTTATTCTGTTATTGCAATCATTATCTTTTATGTTAAAACTGTTGCTGCATTTATGCCCACCTGATGTAAACTGCTTTTATCAGAGTACCTAGGATCCTAAAAGTTGTACACAATGATAAATTAGATAGCATTTTCCTACTGGGAAAAGTAAAGCAAATTAGGAAAATTCAGCATTTTAAGTAGTCAAATATTAATAATATGTTAGACAGAATTTTATTGCTTATAGAATACCTGGATGGCGGGGCCAAGATGGCAGAGTAGTCAGATGCTTTCTGTCGTCCCTCTTACAACAAAGACCCCAAAAAACAAGAGAACCGATTATATATGACAATCTAGGAGCCCTGAACATTAAAGGCAAAGTTGAGGAATCGGACTGAGTGGCAGGGGGAGGGTCAGAAGCAGTGAGGAGTTGCCAGACCTGACCCAGTGGGTACTGGCACCCTGCAGGCCGGATTGGCAGTGGCGCTCGGGATGTTTTTCACATCAGGAGAGACCAAGAGGTGGACAGTCTACTCAAGCCTCCAGAACCAGTGAAAAGCGGCGCTTAATCAGCAAAAGAAAAGTACATGTGTCTAATATACCGCGTGGATAAAAAAACACCCCATTTGGGAAGAAACTCTCTCTCATTTACCTGCCTCCTCCCTGTCCCACACTGGGTCCTGGGCTGGCTTCAGCAATTGCTGCATCACCTGGGCCAGAAGTAGGACCTGTCATGTGCCCTGAACCACTCTCTCAGCCTTGGAGAGGGAACAAATTAACAAACAGGGAAAAAAATAATCTGCCAGCTCCCCGACGCAGGGAACTCAGGGAAGGAACAGCTCCTTTGCCTAGGCACAGGCATAAGGGGTCCACAGACTTTGAATGTCTTTCACCCCTGCATACACCTGTGTGGGCTCATTTCAATAGCGTTACGACAGGGTATATACCTGAAGCCTAATTTCAACTGTATCAGCTATATGGTGGAGTGGCAGGTTCGTAACAGTTGATACCGCTCTGCTCATAAAGAAGGGTCCTCATCTACCCACATCAGGGACCTGAGCACTGGTGGCTCCACCCACACCAACTAGCCACCTGCAACAGGGGTCCAAGAATAAGTGGTGCCTCCCAGTCCTCACAGCCAACAGCATTGGGTGCTCATAGTCTGGCTGCAAAACCATCCACCTACACACTCTAGGGAACAGGGACATGCTTTCCTCCCATACACTCGGGGGCAGCTGTCAGCCCTCTGTCTTGCTCAGTGTGTGACCCCCTATGCAGCCAGACACCTGTGCCTATTCCAATCACCCCTGAATGTCTAGGACTGTAGGTGAGAGCCTGCACCACACACTTGGTGACCAACTACCTAGACACCTGAGCTGAATCCATACAAGAAAAGTAAATGGACTCCTGGGTTCACATACCTAGTAACAGATCTAATCACCTGGTGACAGGATGTTAGAGTTTCAAAGTTGCCAATAATCAAATTAGCTCACACAAGTAGCCTATTTGGGCATATCAAAACAAAACTAAGAAGCTAGGCCACAGTGAGCTAACATAAAATAATAAATATAATAACTTATCGACGGCTCAGAGACAACAGTCAACATCAAATCACGTAAGAGGCAGACCATGATGGCTTCAGTAAGCTCCTAAAACAAAGAATCAAGAAATCTTCCGGAGGAAGAGAATTTCTTGGAATTACCAGAGGTAGAATACAAAATATTAATATACAGAACTCTTCAAGAGATCAGGAAGGAGATCATTCAAAAGGCAGAACAAGCCAAGGAACATAAAGACAAAGCAATAGAGGAATTTAAGAAGATTACAGAAGAGCATAATGACAAATTTAATAGGCTGCAAGAATCCAAAGAGAGACAGAAAACAGGAATCCAGAAGATTAACAATAAAATTTCAGAATTAGACAACTCAATAGAAAGGCAGAGGAGCAGAATTCAGGCAATGGATGGAAGAATTAACGAGACTGAAAATAAAGAGCTTGACACCAACTTCTTGAGGAAAAATCAGATAAAAGAATTTTAAAAAATGAAGAAACTCGGAGAATTATGTAGGACTCTATCAAGAGAAGGAGCCTACGAGTGATTGGAGTACCAGAACCAGAGAATTGTTGAAGATTTGTTGGCAGAAAACTTCCCTGATACCGTGAAAGATGACAAGCTATCTATCCAAGATGCTCAT